CAGGACTGCTGAATTAAAAAAAATAAATAATTCACAGTTTAGTAGTAGACAGATTAATAATTATAACATTTTGCAAAAAGTTATAATTTTGTAATAATAATAGCAAAAATTTTTTAAGATTTTAATTGCATGTTGATTATACTTTTCTATCAAAAATATCTATATTTATTCGATATCTTTAAATTATTGGAGAATTAAAAAATTTAGAATTTTTTAATTCCTTATAATTTTATATAATATTATAATTTACAAAGATCACGTCTTTTTACAAATTACCATAAAGACAATAATAGTAAGTTTATAATTTCAATAGTGGGTCGATTTGTGATTTTAACAGTAGGTAATTCGTTATTTCAACAATGTATATGTTGCGCCTCAGGTTAACACTTGCGTGAGATTGCAGCTAATGCACCTCAGATAGCTGCCAGATAACCAGCATTAAATGATCTATACCGTAATTTTCACCCTAACCCTAATCCTAACTCAAGGATGCATCTGAAGTACAACAATATAAAAATATAATTTCATTAGACAGATCATGAATTTTAAGGTGATAAATAGCGATTTTAATTGTGGTGGGTTACAATTTTGACAGCAAGTTGTGATATCAATAATGGGCTGATTCTTAGTAATAGGTAGATTCATAATTTGGCATATGTTTATGACTTAGATAATGGCTAATTCATAAACAGCATATAGGTTTGTGTATAGTAATATATTTATAATTTTAGTAGCGGGTGGCTTATAATTTAATAGTGGATAGATTTAAGTGTGTTTATTTGTAGTTTTAATAGTGAGTGAATTGATGATATAACAATAGGTGAGTTTGATAGGTGGGTTCATGCTATTGACAACGGATAGAATCAATATCTAACACAATGGATAGTTCACATTTTAGTAATATGTAGGTAGTGATTTCGACAGCAAACATTGTCATAATTGTAACATTGGGTTGGTTTATAATTTCAATAATGCAGTTCTAATTCAACAACAAATGTTATAAATTCTAAACTCACACACCAACCTAGTACACATTTTCTGGAAGCTACAGTAATATGGCCATATGGCATTATGAAAATATAATATTAAGACATTACGACATTACAGTTACGGCTTTATATTTTCATTCGTAATTAAAGAATATGCTGTGATGCCGTAATTCAATAATAACGATGACAACTATAGATTGTGTCGATATACTGTAATATCTTATAAAATTCAATTCGAAAAGTGGTAAATATGATCAGTTTATTACCATTTCAATAAAGAAAATGATCTATATAATATCAAATTTAAAGTAAAACAGATACTATTTTAAAGTGTCATTTGTGAAACAGATGAATAATTTAAGTTATTCCGAATTCCAAAAATACAAGTATGAAATAAAAATATTTAAACACGAAATTACAATGACAATAAAACAGCTCTCCCACCAATAAATTTGGTTAACATATAGATTAAACCTGATGGCCCAAAGACCTGAACTTTTTCGCGACGTCGGTCATATTTTTTAAAGCCATATCAACTTCATTCCATTTCCTAGTTTTTAAACCACAATCGGGATTAACCCAAATGCTATTGCGTTTCAACCGTTTTAACATTTCATTCAAACGATGTTCCATTTCTTCTTGACTTGGAATACGTGGAGAGTGTATATCATAAATTCCTGGCCCGATTTCGTTCGGGTAAGTGAATGATTCAGCACCAAGAAATTTTAGATCAGAACGAGAGTTCTCAATTGTGATCACATCAGCATCCATACGAGAAATTGCATCAATTATATCATAAAAGTCCGAATAACACATATGAGTATGAATTTGCGTGGTATCAGCTACTGAACAGCTGGCAAGAAGAAAGCTATAAATGCAAATGTGAACAAGAAATATTTAATAACCTAATTTCAAATTTGAAATCAAGAATAGCATTGAAAGCATTGGAAAGCTTACCAATCAACAGACCAATCCAAGTATTCTTTCCATTTACTATGACGTAAAGGTAAACCTTCACGTAAAGCCGGTTCGTCGATTTGAATAATGTTGATTCCTGCAGCTTCCAAGTCAGTGACTTCATCCCGGATTGCCAAAGCAAGTTGCTGTGTAGTCAGTTTGCGATGTTGATCATCGCGTACGAATGACCATTGTAACATGGTAACTATAGAATTCATAAAGTTTAAATAATTATTAATTGATAACGACACTATTAGGATAATAAATTAAGATAATAAATACCAGGTCCGGTTAACATTCCCTTCAATGGTTTCTTGGTCAAAGATTGTGCATATTTAGCAACTTCAACGGTAATAGGTTTTGGACGATAAACATCACCGTAAATAATTGGTGGTTTAACACAGCGAGAACCATAACTTTGGACCCAACCATTCTTCGTAAACGTATATCCCTCCAAATGTTCACCGAAAAATTCCACCATGTCTGTACGTTCAAATTCTCCATGGACAAGAACATCAATGTCGTTTTTCTCTTGAAGCTGAATACATTTTTTTATTTCTTCATTAATGAATTCGTTGTATTCCTCTTTTGAAATATCACCACGTTTAAATGCCGCACGCGCTTTACGAACTTCCCCAGTTTGAGGAAAACTGCCAATTGTGGTAGTGGGAAAATGGGGTAATTTGAAGGATTCTTGTTGTTTCTCCCAACGTTTATTGAAAGTTGATCTGCGGTGTATCATATCATGGTTTATACTTTTTATTCTTTCTTGAACAGCAGGATTATGAATTTTTGGTGACGTGCGACGGGTTTGAACAGAACGTTGATTAGCCTCTAATTCATCTTTGATGCTATCAATTCCATTATTAGCGGCCTTGGTAAGAAGAACAATTTCTTTGATTTTTTCAACAGAAAAAGCAAGCCAATCTTTGATTTCAGGGTTTAATTCGGTCTCTGCATCCAATGAATGCG